TCCATCAGGGGCCGAAAATCCCGCTAAAATAATCGTGAACCGTTTGGGCATAATGTGCAGGAGAACCATTATGTTGACACCAAGTGGTACCGCATAACAAATCGGCAATCAATTGCGGAAGAACATAGGTCTGCAGCATTTCCTTGCAAAAGCTTAGCATTAGTACGGCGCAAAAACAACCTACGCGTCACACTGCTGGAAAATAAAAGTGTGCCGACGATTTTTCAACCAGTCAGTCTAGCATAAACCATGACCATTGGGCCATGATGCGTACGTAATTCTCGGTAAATACTGCCTTTTCTGTTCGAATGGAACACCGCTTCATCGGTAAATGTAATGAAATGGATATGCATGTGATCTAAGAACCAGCAGCTAAAAGCATGTCGGTTCTCCAGATCGCAGGGGCTCAAAACGTGCGCTTGAAGTTCACCATACGAACGATATTTTCTTTTCTTTAACGTCCACTGAACAGCGTAACTGGTGATGCCACAATACTGGGCGATTGCACTGATGTTGAGATCGGAATTTTTGGTTGCTTCGCGGATTACATCACAAGCCGAAAACGCTTCCGTAGTGGTGCGTAGTAGACCAGTTTTCCTGGCGTTGCAAACACTAACAGTTTTTTCATACTTTTGCACCAGTTTCAGAGTGTAAAGTTAATTGTATCGCTAGGCAGTTCCGCAGCGTTTAAACTGCACTGACCATAAAACCGAAGAATCAGCACGTGGTGATCAACAGCCACGTATCGTAATTCCCGTTTCATGGAAGTTGCCAAATATCGTGCATCATCGTGATCCATGGCTAAGACACTGATCGAAAACAGGAACTGTTCGTCTCAGTAAGATTCTGGTTGAGCTTGGCCAACCAAATACTTGTCGGGTAGCCATAAAATGCTAGCGCTCATTTGCATGTACCTTGGTCATACTGGCTCCATGGGGGTACTTCAGCTGGCATGTGCTAACATTTTACTTGACATACAGAACGACTCTGTTTTTCGACGGAAGCAGTGTTCATATGTTCTATCCCCTTGGAGTAGAGGGTTTTCACTCGTGTTCATTCCTCCGTAGGGCTTCCAGCCCTATTTTCTCAATTGACCTGTTCAATTGCCTTGAGACGTTAGGCTGGTGTTCACACACTTGTCCGGCCCTCAGTAATAACAGGTGACAATATTCGACGGGCGCTGAAATTTTTATTGAACTCATTTCTCCGCAAGCCTACTGCAATGCAGTCAGTCGTTCACTCACGATTACACATACCCGGTGATCTCATCTGATGCAGTAGTTTACCCGACAACATTATTGGGATTTCGATTTGAGCAAGTCTCTCTTTGTTACACTGGCATAGCTGGATGTCTCGATGAACTCACAGTTTTGGACAACCTGTGTGAGCGCAGATAGGACGTTCAGCATACTTACGCACGTAGCTGAAACTGTGGCGCGGTGGTCGCCTTTTACAAATTGTGTAGAAAGTGGGGTTCACGAAAACCTGGTCGCGGTTGCGTTAAACATGTAGACAAGAGCAATGAAAAAACAGGAAAATCGTTGGGGATGTTTGCAGCTGTTCGGCATAGACAGGTGATCGCGCTAGACAAGTGGATGCAATGTCAGGTCGTATTGTACCTCATTAGTAAATTCAGTGTTCAGGTATGCATTGGATAACACAACAGGGTCCCACAGTGTTGAAACCCAAGTTGATCTAAACTTGGTTAGCTTACTAAGAAAACTGCTCTTTGGCAGGCAGGCAAGTTAAGACCAATTATTTTTACAGCAAATTTGTAGCTAAAGGTTTCAGGTGTTGGTCTTTGTCTAAGCTTGTAAGGTTGGTAGCAATGAGCCACTCCATGTTGTCGTGCACCATGCTCATTTTCAGCAAGCAACTGCCAATATGGCACGCATTTATTCTACATATTGTGTTGACTACGTCCGCAATGTATGTTGGCATGACCGCATGTTCAGTATTGTCTCGTTGTAACTGAGTTGCCGTCGCATTCTACGTAATTCAGTTGGCAACATTTGCGCAATTTGGGCTGCAATTTGCATGCCTTTTCTTAATGGGTTTAGTTTACCGTGACAACCACATCACATACAGACCACACCATTTATAGTTGCGTATAATCGCAATATAAAAAACAAATTGAGGATGACGTTTTCCGTATCAATTAATTCGCGGATTAAGCGCCACTCATCTATGTCATGCGCCCCTATCACAAATTCACTTCGAGTCCAAAGCTCCAGGTTATGGTCGTCAGTGATCGAGTTGCATTCTTTTGTTTGTAGTACTCATCTGGATTATTATTGCGCTTCTGAAATTTGCTCCAAAGAATAATTTAGATAATATGAACAGTGCATGGGGTAAGTTAGAGAACAGTAAATGACGTGGGAAGGGCATCAGCATCAACTCCTAACCAAACGTTACGCTGTGGTCACGGTTCACCACAATTTACAAAGTTTGGATAGCACTTAAGGCGCATAATGAAGGTCAGTTTGGCTGGACACCGATTAATTGGAACATATAGTTCCATTGTTTCCGTGCAACTAACAATTTCACTTTGATCGACTTTCCCTTAGATTCACACACACACTGGAGCATTTAACAGTCACAGCATGGTGATATTGCCTGATGTACTCCATGTTTTAGGACGATGTTACTGCTCTGTTTGATAAGATGATAGACGGCTTCCGAAGTACCGCTGTGGTCTTAGCAGTACGAATTTCTCTTTTTGACTGATGTCAGTGACACGATGTACGGAATTCCCATAGGTGGGTAGCAACGACGGACTCGTTTGCTGTTAGTTCATTCACAGTATAGAACATGCCTCCAGCTATTTGTGGAGCATGCCTCAAAAAAGAATGATTAAGAGCAATCCCTCCTATGACAAAGATTCGACCGGGTTGACAGAATTTTGTCCTGCATACATTTAAGATTTAAATTTGTCAGGGTGCCTAATTGCAGGTCGTTTCCCTCACGCTCAGCAGGAATACTTGGTTGCAATGTCTAAGTTGGTGTTAAAACTCTTGAAATGTACTTGGAACCGATCAAGAAGTCACAGTTGTAGTAAGATTTGCGAACAACTGGTTAGTTTATCTTTTAGCTACCTTCCGCATTTAACACTTGTCCCGAGGAAGCTCTTGTATTAGGAGAGAAATTTAACCAAAAAAAATAAATTAACTGTTTGTTCCCACAATTTTTAAACCATGAGTTGGCATTGGATATTGAGTTTGTGGCTCTGATACTATTTGGTCCAGGGAAACCGTGCTTATGAATGTTTTCCCCACCCCAGCAATCTATAACCCCTTGTTACAATTTTGTGTCAAAAACCACATGTTCAATGAATGCAATAGACCGTTACCATGCATAGAGAAAAGCGGAAGGGGTCGTAACTTTACGCTTTCCCATATTTCCTGATGCTAGAGGGCATATTTAGGGTGTAAGCAAATATAATTTTCGCAGCGTTCGATTCCAATTACTACACTTTTTAAACTACTTGACAAACAACAAATCACAATTGGTTTCGATTATGTAGGCTTTGCGTTCCATGGGCTAACAGAGCATACCGTAATCATTGACGATCTAGTTTAAGTCCGACGATTTTCATTTTCGCAAATACTAACCGAGTAGGTTTGTTGCAGTTGTCGCATGTCACGTTGGTGACGTGGCACACTTGCGTGCCATCAACTCCAAGTGAATCAATTTTTCCCTGGATATGAGACTTTTTGCTGGTTCGGCCCTGGTTACTTGTAAACACTTTGTGGTCACCGATGCTTCACTGATTCATGTCGTTAATATTATTTGACAAATTAGAATATGTTGCTAAGCAACAAGTGCGCAGGCTGATTATGCACATCTAGTGGCTCATCAGAGAATGTCGTCCAAAATTTGGCTTTGTTTTCACTACATATTGGAAAGCTATTGGTCACTTCATGCATGTTAGGAGCTAGCATAATTTTCGCAATTAATTCGTGTGGTAAGAATGGAAAGACAGTATAGTTAGTGGCAGTTTAATTCATTGTTCTTTACGGAAGGTTGATGTTATCTGATGCAAAACTAAGGCGCATTATAAGTCCGACTGCTTGGGATCCCTTCGTTTAACGAATGATTCTAGAATAAGGAAAATTACCACTCAGGATTATCTAGTTCCGGAGTTGCGGGTTTTATTACTCCTTCGGCTGTAGCTTAATTCTTACACTAGCTCTAAGTATCTAAATCGAAACATCCCTCCTTTGCTGGGTAAACATTTCCTCAAGTATTTGAGAGCAACAATACTTGGATTTATCCGGGAGAAGCGCCACATCTACGCATTCCATTATCTAATAGACATGTATGGGTAACATAGCTGCGAGGAATCTACGTGAGGAGGAAATAATGTCAAGCTGAAGTCGAGGTTGACTTTCATGTCATACGACTGCTCCAACTACCCTTAACGCAACTCATTATCCAAGAACATTTTCCCAAGTTTTGGTGCAACAATTACAGTTATTCATCTTTTAAAGGTTGTATGCCCGTTGCAGCATGCGTACCAGTACCGAATATTCTACAGGATGCCAAGAAAAGCTGCTTAACCAAATAGGCCTGCACCGTCCTCGTCAACTAATTTTTCTCTCTCACCGACTCAGCAGAGTGGATGCAAATGTTCAGGCTCCGCACTGGGAGGACAACAAGCATCTTGCCGAAGTGTCTTGAAAAAATGAAGCAGCATATGGAATTAACCCAGTTATGTGCTTGCTGCTTGTTCAACTTTAGCTACAGGTTGTTTGTGATTTACCACGTAGGCGAGAAATCTGGCTAAAACATGAGCTAAAGGAAGAAGCGCCTGAATTCAAGACACTACTGTTTCCAATACAGCCTGAGTACAAGTAGCTACAAGTCTTCATACTTCGTTTCCGTCCGAAATTCCATACGTATTCATACATGTACTTATTCTTACACGTAGATACTTTCTTCGTGAATCCTACTCGTTAAACATCCGCTTAAATCGTAATTACTCGAGCAGTGAATTCAATTTAATTAGGCAAAGCTTGCAAGAGAGGCTTTCGGCGCACAAGTTTCAGCCTCTGCGAAATTCGCCTTGTGAACAGCATTCGTGCAACGACTTTGTCCCGTTTGTCTGTGAGACGAATACCAGCTGAGAAATAACACAAAATTCATGTTAAAAGATTTATGTTCTAAATATGAAACTAAAACATATGCACATGCGTAGTTATTCTTGTGCTGAAAAGAGAATGAAGAGAGGAAATTAGTCCCAATGAGCAGAGAAGCCCTGGTAAATCCATTAATGTAATGGAACATAAACAATGGTGCTTGTGACCTATAGCGTTTTAATAGAACGTTTTACTTAACTTTGTTTCTTTCGTAGATAAGTTGGCACTATTCTGAGTGAAAAATTGCGGCAACCCACATCTAGTACTTGCAATACAAGTTAACGGGCACATTTTGGCTATTAAATCTGTTGGAAATTATTAATTTGCAACCTCAGACCTAAATTCGGTCTTCCGGGAATGAAGTTTTTACCCTTTTGCACCCGCAATCTAGGCAAATTTAGTCGAACCCAAAAGCGGCATATTGTTTTAGGCAAGTGAGTGTAATAAATTTGAGAATTCATCACCATTTTCTTAACTTTGATTGCATGCGCAGAATATAAAGTTAGTTTACGCAATAAATATGCTTTTTGGAACAATACCGTCGGGAAATTGATCTGTCTTCTAAAGAAGGTTGTAAATCTCATCAAACCATCTACTTGATCACGCTTAAAACTCTATCATCCTCTAATGCATGCTTGTTTATATAGAACATGGCCTTTCTCCGACACAGTATTTTCTCATGTTGAGCTGGAAGACATGTGGGTCTTTTTCGGTGGAAGCTGATGCCGTCAAACTCCATGTCATATTTCAGATCATTAGGTTAGCAATAAGCGTGGTGATGTGCGAGTCTATAAAATGCAAAGCGAGTGCTGGCATGAATTTCGTCACGAGCACTGGTTAGGAAGTATGTGGTGAATTTAGGTTAGTTATCTAAAATTATTGTTTTTTTACTCGTCTACGCCTTAACATGCAAACTTTAAGTTATGCGCGCCTTAGGATCGTCTAACGTGGGTGCCGAATTCATCGCATCGATATTCCGGTATAGGTAAATAGAAAGTCGAGTTACGCGATGTCATGAGCTTTTAAAATAAGCATGCAAGCTATCTGGCAGCTCTAGAAAAAAGATTTGTTCATTTGTTTGACTGACTTTGGGGACCAACAGCTTGTTCTTCCTGGTTAACGGCAGTTACACCTGAAAACAGAATGCCGTTTCGTAAGATGGTGTTTATATTGTCATGGGAACAGCCGATTTACTTGCCAACTGATACAAAGCTGTTAGCTGCAATTCAGATTTAGCTCTGATGTGCATATTTCATTAGCAGTGTTTGTACAGTTGTGCTTGTACCATGTGAAATAATCATCGAATATACTTATCTAATGGTACTTGAATAAATTATGCTGTCCAGGTTGTTCTAGTGTTGACAGTTTTACTGGGCTTAAGGAACTTAGTTCCACAGTAAACAATGTGTTGTTATGCAACTGTACACCAGTCAAGCAAATTTACTCACCGGTGACGGTGAAATTCAGCCTTTGGTTTCTTGTCGATGCAAGCAGTTTCATGTCCAATAGCACTCGCAGTTTTAATGCACCCTCACCACCTTCTAACTGCAGGCTATCCAATGCGAGCTGATATTTAGAGAATTGTAGTATCACCCGGCCTGAGTTCTGCCCGTCGCTCTCCAAAGGCTCCAGTACGCACCAACTACTCACAATAGCCCGACGTACATTAGTGTTGTTCAGAAGGTTGACGAGCTGTGAATGACATACAAGCATGTCATTTTGAGGTGAACAATAATACTACTAAGCATACTACTAATACTACTAATACTAACGGTAATAAGCTTCTCATTTTTTGTTAGAGATTCGCCAAAATGTAAACTCAACCGCTGTCAACAAACTTATGCTAAGAAGCGTGAGATAATCTTAACCCACAACTCCTTGCTTTGAACGGTGTGATCGTCCTTATGACAGACTTAACGAGCAAGAAATTCGGCGACTATACCGAGAGAGGCGATAACTAAATTCACCTGAGCTTTATCGATAATGGGATTGCAATACATTACATTTTCTTGGAATAGAGTTAAACTACTCATTATGAATTCCCCAAAACTCAGTCAGTGTCCTGCTCTTTGCACTAAATTTGTGTATACTACAGAGTGTCCATATCAGAACATTCCAGAAGCTTTTAAAATTTGACAAAAATGCCCACGTGCACTCACGAACTTATCGGGTCCCAAGAATTTGGTTCGATTGTATGACGTAGACGGCATCGTCCAACCGATACTGAATGCTTAAAAGGAGGAAAACAGAACTTACAAGCAAAATCTTTTATTTTCACTTCGTGTTTCTAATATTGGACAAGCTATGCTCGAGTTACATGGCTCGTCTATACATACAGAAAAATGTGCCATCTGTTATTTGACTTAGGGTGATATATTGGGAAGTAAAGTTAAGACCTACAAGGGGTTAACGATACACATTTAAGACTAAACTAAACACAACTATATTGAAGTGATACCAAATGTTTACCACTCACTAAGAACTTTGTTACTCAGAGGTTTTGCCCTCGCGCTGGAGCACTTCTCCAGTAAATCGTCTGTGGTTTGGCCTTGTAGAAGAAAAATTAGAGTTGCAACGTGTTCGGACAGGTAACACCCATGTTAATAAAAATTTGAAAGACTTACCTGTAGTAAACATGGCTGTTGCACAGAAAACGCAGAGTAATGCTATGAAATTTGACATATCTAAATGAGCAAACGGAGCTTATCAAAATGTTGACGATGACTCTCAAAACCCAAACTACTTAAATAGCCTAGATATTTGGGTGAACTTCGGCTGCTAATTAAGACAGAATAATTAATGAATTATCAACTGAGTTGACGGAATATCTCGTGACAAACTTTGAAAGCAAAAGTACGGATTACTGTGTTTTCAAAGGATTGAATGCATTGGCCTTAATGGGTTAGATACCAACCTGACGAAATGACAGCGGGTCATAAAGAGGAATACACTTGAAATAATTCTGATCATTAACAAATGATAAAACTACCGCTGTGCAAGAGTTGTTCATATTTAATCTAACTATTATATTAACCCAATAAAGTGCAAAGGTTTACCAAATGAATCTTGATGGACCAGCTGTCAAACTTCGTTTAATAGTGGTTACGGCTCTCACATCTACTGGGTACATAATGGACAAACCGGTGAGCATGTGATACATGTGACATGCTGCATTGTCGCTAATTGTATGCCAGTAACTACTCTTAGACGCAGAACTAGGTACCTAGAGGAGTGGCTATGATTCATTAGGCAATTGCAGGTACGTATATGATAAACCCAATAAGATGGGTGACAAACGGCATTTTTTCTTCATTTCCAGCCAAGATGTGGTCTCTGCCTTTGAAGATAATCCATTAAACATATCATTGTTTCTTGGTCACTTCCACCTGCCTAATGATGTGTTCACTGTTTTGAATTCGTTTCCTGATTGGTTGCACTGAACACAGTTTTTGTGGTAGACAGATAAATCCGGGTTGCCCAGTGTTTTGAACAAAAACGAAAAAGAACGAGAGTAAATGACACAGATAGCGACATGACAGCTTAAATTGAGGAAATTGCACCTCTCGGTCCTCGATATATGTTTGTAAGCCAAGGTACATTCTGATGGTTTATAAAACAGTAATTTCCAATTTATTTGAGATAATTATTCATAAAGCGCGTTCATTATATACAACTACACGCAAAACACTTTACTTTCAAAACAAGGCAGTCATTAGCAATTGCCTTTTACTTTGTATTGGTGAAGTTAATTCCGCTTGCGTAATTTAATCATGCAAAGAAAGAACATATATTTTTGTGAAAGTCGTATGGTTAGTCCAAAGCTAATGAAACTTGTTGAGACACTGACGTTGGTTAGTATTAACAATTTCCTTTTTTAAAACTTTTAATGCAGTTTCGGTCAATACACATCGTAAAGTTTGCTGAAAGTTAAATTGCTTCACTAGTTTTAGTTTCATTGTCATTATTGTCGAAAATCCATTTTCACACCTGCAAAATGTGGCGAACGGGATCAATTTATTCTATACATTTCCGATAATAATGACTACTGGGGAACATTTTTATCCAAAATATCGCTGGTTATGTACTTTTGAAATAGATCTTCAAGGTATTGTTTTCATGAAGTCCAGGAGTTATGCTTCCGTTTCTACGTCAGTATCTGAAAATATTCAAGTATACACTGAAAATTGGCTTAGCATCCTTCAGGTTAGGCGTTTACCTATCGAGAAGCCAGCTGCCTATGCGGGCAAAGAACTTACGGAATGTAGGGAATCCGGTCAAATTCAAGCTTAACCCATTTCGGCACATGTTCTTTTATTCCGGAAATCCTATCAATTCTGACTGCGTAACCAGTTTCGCATTTACACGGGAATTGGTAGACACAGTGTGAGTTGGCTGTGATAGGCTGAAAGCCTTTGTTAGAGATTCGGGCAAATTTTTCGTTCCGCTGGTGACGATACTTTGCGCAGCAAAGTAACATCCTTGCGTACCTGAAACTATAAGCCTAGCTGCCTTCATGGAGGTTAATTCATATTTGATGAGAGTGAAGCTAGTGATATCCCTTGTAGATATCAAGTTTTGACGAAACTGGTTACGAAGTGCAGTGTTTTGGGCTGATAAAGCTAATTAACCTGCATTTTGTCTGCTATCCCCATTTAGAAAAGGATCCAATTCTAATTATAATTAGAGCTTGGCTGAAAGTGAGATTATTTATGGCTTTCCAGCTACAAGTTGGTTGCTACTTAACCTAAAGAAAATTGTATTTTGAGTTGAACAAACCATTTGGTCCAGAATTCGTTCTTCTTGAGTTAAATGTACAGTTTGAGCTGCCTATTAGAAACTAGACACTCATTGAAATGATACTGAATGGATGTGATAACATATATAACCTGGCATCCTATACTGCGGTTTATGATCCCAACGATATATTGCGTTGTAAATCTGCCATGGAAATCAGTAAGATACCCATCGGATGTAACGTCGACAGAAACTAAGTTGACCTTTTAGTATTTTCGGTTCCAGATGGCGGAAATTGAGAGAGCACAGAGGATAGACATTTACTCAGGGTTAGTCTTGTTATTTGGTACAGCAGGGTATAGCCCGCAATGTTCAATGTACTGAATTTGACGTAAGTAGTCTTTCAATGGCCATTGCCAGAGAAGTAAAAACTTTGCGTGTTTTATCTGTTTTGAAACCTTAGGCTTGTGATTTCCCTCCTGTCGAAACAACTATTAACTGTGCTGACTGGTGGGGTATTTCTAGCTATGCTACCACCCAGCATACCAGGGTTACGACATTAAAATTCCTGACGAAGCTTGGGTGACAGCCGCCCAGGAACTAGAGGCAGAAGTAGTTGTCATAGAAATAGGATGCAGCGATTTTGCGGGACTTAGGAGACCATTGGAATCCAGGTAGTATTGATACTAGCTTTATTAGCGTTAGCAGCATCAGCATCAGTATAATGGCAGCAGTAAGATAAAGTGGTCTCAGGTGTTCCAAATATGTAGAACTGATTTTGTTACAACGGTTTAGTAAGGGGAAGAAAAGTACTACCTTTCATATCCAAAAAACGCTTGACATTTTGTGTAGGTGCTATCCATGCGATAAAAAGCTACCATTATTAACGAACCTATTTAAATGTAGAATACATTACTTTTATCTTGCAAGACATTTATTGAAACGAAAATATTGTCTTCGACGTCAATATGAAGCTAAGAATAATAACGTTTTTACTGGAGAATTCGCAAGATGACATCGTCATATTTCAATAAACTTGAGTTAATCCAAATCCTTTATCTTATTCCCGCTTGTCAAATCTAGGTCAAGCAGTCGGAGCCAAGAGTCCCTCCATCTGGATTAGACAATTATGGCTGTTAGATGGACAATGTAGGCAGGTGCGATCACGATTATTGGTGTTACCATGTCTCACATACACCATATTTGACAGCAATATAAATTTGTTATTTTGTGTCGGCTCATTTGAACACAATTTCTCAAAATAAGCTACAATGCGATCCGCGCAGCATCCAACTATGTATGTTATACAAAAGTGGTACTTCAGCTTCTCAAAGCCGAGGCCTGTTAAACGATAGGGTATTCACATTGAACATTTAACGCGAGCTAGTTGGGTGGATCAGAATGTTCTCGGTCCGACCAAGAATTAAATGAACTGAATAAAAAATAAGAATATTGTAAGACAGCGTAATGTCCTGAAAGCATCAATGCTAGTCTCAAATTGGTATCTTTATTTGCTTGCAGGTGATGATCTGCTGAAAGGACCTCGGTCGCTCAAGTTCCAAAGATGGACGCATTTGAAAGTCAAGCTGTGATCAAGTACCTACACAAAAGTGTATGACGCTAAAGGAGACCCATACCGAGATGGTCGAGACACTCGGTGATGTATACCCTTTTATTCCACTGTTAAGATCTGGATTGCGAATATATAGGCGGGCAGGGAGCGCACTGAAGTTAAGCCACGCTCCGGCCGCTCGAAATCTTCGATGTGGGTTGATCAAGTGGAGGCAGTTCGTAGAATGTTAATGGATGATGAAAGGTTATCTGTTTTCAATACCTAAGACTATGGGCATCAGTTACTGTACAGTCCATGCTGTTTCAAAGAACATTTTAGTGATGTGGAAGTTGACTGCAAGATGGCGCCAAGAATGATGACACCCACCCAGAAATTGAACAGGCTGGAAAACTAGAAGCAGATTTTGCCTGTTACAAGGCAAATGCCCCAAATGTTTTCTAAGATAAAACATGGATACATCACGTTAAGCCGGAATCAAAAATTTAAAGCAACCACTGCAAGCACCGTGATCATGCGCCTCTAAAGAAGTTCCTTAACCACTTCACTCAACTGCTAAGAGAAGACAAAGCCGTGTAACAGTAGAACACTTCAACAACTTTCAGTGTAAACATAAACTGCTGTACAAGCACTTCATCTGTCTACGAAAGGTGAGGCAAGCATTTCCTTCCCTCATGACGGCTGGTGACCTAGCGAAAACGGCTGTGAAAGCAGCAAACGCGCTGTGGATGCAATATGCCTTCACTTTAGAGGGTCTTGCCACCAAGCGACCTTTCAACTTTTGTCGTCTCCTCGCCAGGACTGATCCACATCCCATTTACCGCGGAGGCCGTATTGCAAAAGCTGACTTCGCTACACAAACATAGCTTGCCAGGTGTCGACACCATTCGTCCAGAGGCGGTGGAAATAGCAGCAGCCCAAATAGCATGACATTTAGCTCACTCTTTTCAGCGCTGCTTGGACCAGAATCAAGTTCCCGCTATATGAAAGCTTGGAATTATAACCCCGATTCACAAAGGTGGTATCAGAACTGATCCCTCCAAATACCGCCCAGTATCCCCTTTTCCTATAGTCGCAAATGTCATAGAATCCATAGTTGTCGATTCATTAGTGTGCTATCTGGAAAACTGTAACATCATCACTCCTGAGCAGCACGGTTTCCGTTGACAGCGGTCATGTGAAACGAATTTACTACTTGCATGCAGTAGTTGGACCGAGGCAGCTGACGCTGGAGAAGGGGTTGATGTGATCTACCTGAATTGTTCCAAGGATTCTGATCGTCTAGACCATCGGATACTACTCTGTAAGCTCCATCATACCGGGATCGGCGACCCTCTGTTAGCTGGATGGCCAACTCTCTACTTCAACGGCAATTAGT